ATGTAGGAAAATTAAAAAATGTAAAATAACAATGAAATATTTTGGGTCTTTCGATATTAAAAAATAAATAACATTGTTATATTTAATATAACAATGTAATTTTTTACACATTAAAAATTTTACACTCAGTATTTCGGAAACGGGGAGTTTCTGGAAACTAGTTAAAAAGAAGTCTTCAAACCACAAAACTTGTTTGAATTTTCCAATAATTATTTTAAGTTAAACCTTAATGTATGTATTGAACCAAAAATAACAAGCCGTATTGCACCATTTATTTTTGGTCAGTATTTTATTTAAAAAAAAAATTAGTTAGTCAACGGTCAAATTAACATATTAATATTTTGTCTAACCTTTTAGGGACTAGACTACAAAATTAAAGGTATATTCTGCATTTATTTCGGACATTATTGAAAGTCTCGACTTCAAAGTAAATGGATTTATTTTGGCATGCGTCTGCAGACATCTTTCATATAAACTTTAAACAAATGGTGTATAGACACTGTCTTATAGACACTTAAGAGTGCGAAGTCTCCATTTAATCCTTTAATCCAGTATTAACTTTAGCTATTTATTGCAAGTGACTTTTATGAAAATATTTTAAACGAATTTTTTAAAACCTACTAACTGTTCTAATTCAATGTTAATATTAACCTAAAAAATATTAAAATAAAATATAATTAAAATTAATAATGTATGATTATAAAATTGTTCACGTGCCAAGATTATCTGTATGCATTTTATAGGTAAAATGCATAGGTTGACGTCCGACCTGCATTATTTAAATTTAAGGTAAAGTATTGCATCGACTCGTATAAAATAACTCTTATCATCAGAAAGTTAATAATAGAATGCTACCGAAAGATGCAAATATCGAGATCATAAGGTAATAACACAAGCCAAACTTTATATTCTAGGACAATTAAAATTACCTTCCAGGTAAATATGAAGAGTTTGAAAAATAAATATCAGGTGCCGAGTGCAAATTCAGGGGTGCTAATGTAATAAAAATAAAACTTATAAATATGTTAATTATACTTATTATTATGTAGATATAAAAACTAGTATGTTTTTTAAGTTTCACGTGATTTATTTATTTTTGACAATTGTTTCGTCACACAGTGACTTGTTCAGATTGTATTTGAACTTATTATTAAGTGAGTTTATATAACACAATGTTTTATGGTACAACATTTTTTGAATTTACCTGGACAATATTTGCTTAAGAAATTGAAAGAGAGTAATGATGGAAAAACCTAATTTATTGTACTACAATATATTCTTATTGTGTGAATTAGAACTAATAATCCACAAAAACCCACAGATAAAGCATTTTCTATATTGGTACAGATACGTTGACGATATCCTAACTTGCTTCACAGGTACAAAAACATTAAATTCCCAATGGAAGAAGAACAAAACAACCAAATTAATTTTCTAGATCTCACTATACACAAAAGTAATGGTTATCATACATTTAAAATATTTCATAAATCTAGTTACACTGACATAGTTATTCATAATTCATCCGCACATCCTTGGTCCCAAAAAAGAGCAGTCTTTAATTCAATGATCCATAGACTTTTAAATATACCACAGATTTCGATCATGAATTAAACTTAATTAAACAAATAGCCGTCAATAATGGATATCAGGCACAAATAGTCTCTGAAATTTTAAAAAACTAAAAACAAAAAATTACCCTTAACCAAATATTTCCAATACCAAAAACCCATACTAACACGTACAATATTTTCACATACCTAGGTTATAACATGAGACATGTTTCCACCCTGTTTGAAATAATCAACCGAGAACTCGCTTTTAAAACTAACAATAACTTAAGTATTTTAATTAATAATAATAAAATAGATTCAGCTTAAACCAATCACTTAATACAAGAAAACCATACTTTTAATAATAATTTTAAAATTCTACATGTTTCCACCCTGTTTGAAATAATCAACCGAGAACTCGCTTTTAAAACTAACAATAACTTAAGTATTTTAATTAATAATAATAAAATAGATTCAGCTTAAACCAATCACTTAATACAAGAAAACCATACTTTTAATAATAATTTTAAAATTCTACATGTAGAAAATAAAGGCAGAAAGTTAAATTTGTTGGAGTCACTGGAAATTAAAAAATTGAAAAGGATTGATATTGTATTGAATGATCAAATAGAGACCAATAATTCACCGTTATTAAATTTATTTTAATTATTCACACAATAAGAATATATTGTAGTACAATAAATTAGGTTTTTCCATAATTACTCTGTTTCAATTTATTAAGCAAATATTGATCAGGTAGATCCAAAAAATTTTGTACCATAAAACATTGTGTTATATAAACTCACTTAATAATAAGTTCAAATACATTCTAAAGAAGTCCCTGTATGACGAAAAAATTGTCAAAAATAAATAAATCTCGTGAAGCTTAAAAAACATACTAGTTTTTATATCTACATAATAATAATATGGAGTTTCATCAAGGTGGAAACAATGAAATATTTAATTATACTTTATTACCATCTAATGTAGGTAATATTAAACACTAAAAACAACATAAAAAGTAAATAACTAGGTATCAATACAATTATAATTGCCAAAATAAGGTTTAAAACTCATATTTTTGTGTTTCTTAAGTTGGCAGCACAAAATTTAAAATTACAATTACAATTTTAAGAAGTCCTAAAAAAAATTTGTTGGATAACCATATAAAATATACTGAAATAATCAATTTCTAAGCCATCAACATGATCCTCTTTGGTTGCTCGAGTTTAAAAACCAATTTAATAATGTTTTGATATGGGAACTCTTCCTCATAAAAGATACACAGTGCTTAACCCCTAAAATTTTAATAGGGCAAGTAATACATTTGAAAGGTCCTGCTCCACTGAGTATGATGAAAAAAATAGTCCAATTTAATCGTTTTTGAGATATTTAAAATTGAAGCTGTGAATTTGTCTGATGCCTCACAAAATCATATATAAAATTCTATGGAAACTTCTCAAACGGAGATAGTACCTTACCTAATAATTTAATTTTTTTCAAAAACATGTTTGAAATAAATATTGATATTATTGTGTTTTTGTAAAAGTATGTATATGTAATACCTGAACTATAAATAAATTAAAGTATTGTTAAAACACGCAAAAACTTGTTTTTAAAATATCACACTAAATTACCTGTTTATTTTGAAGAATTCCAGTTGTATTAGTTAAATTTTACAACCTTATTATGCAAATTCTTCAGATATATACAAAATGACAAATATGAGCAAACATCCTTTAAAATTTTATTAATTTAACAATAAGATTTATTTTGTTTTACCTGCCTTTTACAAACATACTTAAAATTTACCTAGGAAATTTAAAAATGATTTGAAAACAAAAGTATTATTTTAAATTTACTATACCTAATTTTCATATTTTTTTCTCATTAACTTTAGGTTCCAGGCTTTCAAAAAACTAAGATATTTTTGTTAAAAATGAATTCAACTAAATAAATGGTAAACTAATAGTACAATTAAGTCTCAATTAGTTGATCAAGATGTCCTATATAACTACTTATAATAATTATATACCTACGTAATTACTTTGAAAAATGGAAATTAAATTGTTGTTTAATTTTTAGATTTTAATCGATATGGTCTTCCTACATGGATTTTATTATGCCGTCAGTTATATTAGTTCAGTTTGATTACTTGATTTAATTAATTTTTTGGAAAAGGGGCATAAACATAACCAATATTTGTTTAAATCTCTAAAAAACGTAAGTTTTAATTTTTTTAAAAGTGTTAAAATTCTGTATGTTTTGTATGTGTGTATCTACCGTACTTTTTATGTATTCCCAAAGAAAAAAGCCAAAAAGAGTCAAGTAAGGACTGAAACTGAAACGCCATGGATTCCATATCATGAAATATACCCTCTACGTGAAATAGGCGAGTTGAAACAATTTAAGGTTAAATATTGAAAAGTGTTAATGTTATTTGTATAAACAGATTTTCCAAAATGTTTACTTTAATATTTTTTTTTATTTCATAGGATTTATATGTTTTACGGTTACGTTACTTTTTACTTTAAAGCAACACAATGCCCAACAGGTTTTCGCAATTTTGCTCAAAATTTATTTCTGGCTTTTACGTTGCGTAGTATTTGGTATTTGTTAAATGTGTTAGTACTATTAACCCTTATCCCTGGTATCGTTGTGTTATTTTTTACCGGCTGCCTATTGGTGGGTGTGTGTATCAATCGACACACCAAGTGTCAGTTTATTTTTGTGCAAAATCGACTGTAAAATGAAGCAACCAAAAAATCTTTGCATGTGTGGTGACTGAAAATAATTTTATTTTGTCAAAAACGTTTCATTAAGGTGAAAATATAAACCACTATTTTAGCCGTGTCCTGTACAATAAGGCATAGTTCACCTAAATTAAATGTAGAAAACTTTTTTATTTTACAGGGTTACCATGTTCTGTAAAAAAAGTACCGGACATGCGTGAATAAACCTTAATTAAAAAAATGACACAATGATACAATGTAAATTTTTACTTATTTTTTATAGGATCTGGCACTTTTTTACAGTGATTGACAATTTAAACAAAAAAGTATGTTTAACAATTATTACACATTTGTTATTTTTACTTAGCCTACCTACCGATTATTATTCCAAATTGTCTTTTTTGAACACATAATTGTTTTAAGTAAGTCGTTATATAAAATTTTGTTTTTATTCATAATTTTTATTATTTAAATTTAAAAAATTAATCTACCCAGTGGTTTTTAGTTAAGGTATGTACTTAAGGGATTAAATGTAGCTCGATTTCTATTGGTCAGCACCATTGGATTATTGTTCTTAATAGTCGTGGAGATTATCCGAAGGAGGTATAAATAGGGAAAGCACTCAATAAAAACCATACACTTTAAGCCACCGTCTCCTATTCAGTAGAACTGATCATCTTTGGCTAACTTTAAATTTACGAATTTAATAATTATAATGGAAAAAGTATTTAATGAACTCGTTATTTCTGCTGCCATGTTTGAAAATAAACCTATTGATATTTCACTGGTAAGTTTCACCCAATATTTTTTATATTGTTATCATATAATAATAACAAATACCAAACATTTTTTGCTTAACATGACACTGTTATTAATTTTTATTTATCTTTTTCAGTATCAACCTTATCCGAACATGGCACCATCCCAAGCCCCTGACGAGTTCCCTCAAAAATCTAAACGTCTGAGGACTTCATACTCAGCCTTCCAACTATCTGCTTTGGAAAAAGAGTTCCATCTCAACAGCTACCTTTCAAGACCCAGAAGAATCGACATAGCCCAATCTTTGGATCTCAACGAAAGGCAAGTAAAAGTATGGTTCCAAAACAGAAGAATGAAGCAAAAGAAGGACAAGGTCAAGGCTGCCGTGTGTGGCAACTCAAGCAACTCCAGCGGTCATAGCAGCCCTGTATCAAGCGAATCTGGATCTCCTCAACACGATTCTTCATCCGAAGAGGACAGGCACATTGTAAACCATTTGCTTAACTATGCACCTGCAGCGATAAAACAAAACGTCAGACCTGCTCCATCCTATGAACCGTACAGGGATAACTATGAGCTACCAAGTTTGCCAGTCTACAATCCTTATGAAGGTTTTTTCAATCAATATAAACCCTATGTCACCTACCATCAAGTACCAAGAGTGCAAGATGAGAACGAGGCACCAGCTAAAAATGAGTCTTTGAAAGTTAAGGATGAGTCTTTACCTTTCAGTTACTTAATTGAAAGTAATGATTTATTTGTTTAATATTATTAACAATTTATTTTTTTATACAGCTTTAATTCAATGTAGTGTATATAATGTAAATGTAAATTAATAAAATGTGTTCAAAATAAATAATTTTATTTTAATATTATACCTTTAGAACAAATCTTTTAATATATTGTTTAAAAAATAACTTAAATGGTTATTTTTAATGTAGGTAAGTACAAGTACAACTTAAAGCTAACTTCAGCCCATGACTAAAACGCCATAAAGTCACAGCTTGTCAATGTGTATTTAGAAGATCACTTAGTGTCATGAACGATATGTACGATGATAATTTTATTAGATTTTTTGTTAGAAACATAGTAAGGGTACCTACTATGTTTTTAACGAAAAATCTCAAAATCCCTTATAAGGGATAATACCAAAGGGTGTAAGTGCCATATATGGCACTTACACCCTTTGGTATTTCCACGACTCAAATGCAATTAAAACTCACAACATAGGAAAATATCGGCCAACAAACACTTATTTTAAAATTAAAAATCTATATATATATATATTTATATAAAAATGAATCGTAGTGCGTTAGTCCTGCAAAAACTCGGAAATGGCACAACCGATTTAAATATTTTTTTTGTTTTGTTCGCTTCAATACAGGGGTGATTTAAATAAAAAAAAACATTAGGAAAAACCGAAAGGAACAGCCGGAAAATTTAAAAAATTAAAACTCGTGCAACTTTGGATTAATTTGAATAGATGGCGTTCGTAGCTGCGCTTCAAATGAAATAAATAATTTTTGGAATTCTCTATGTTTTGTTTCATTGTTGTTTTAAGTTTATATTGCGTTTTTTATTTTTTAAAACTAAGCATAAGATTATTTATACCATGTTACTATTAGTTTAATTTTATTTCAATGTTTTTTTCATGGATAACTTGAAACAATAATTTTTTACAAATAGTAATTATTGTGCATTTTTAATTTGGATACAAAATCGTTCCTACTTAAAATTTTTTAATAAAATTTAGTATAGGGTCGTTTTGAGGGATGGTGAATCCAGTGCTGTGCATAGATTTTTTTTTAATTCCTTACTCTTTAAAACTGACATAGTAGGCCATGTATTTTGTAAAAAGATTTTTTTTTAATTCTTTACTCTTAAAAACTGACATGTGCCGTGCTTAGATTTTGTTTAAAAAAATCGCTAATATGAAATCTTAAAAATTTACTCTTAAATACTGACGTAGTAGGCCTTGTATTTTGTAAAAATATTTTTTTTTTGTTCCAAAAATACAGTTTATCAAGAAGTATACTTTCAAACAAATCTGGATAAAATCGCACAATAAATAAAGATTTTACAGGGGTAAGTGGCAAACAAATGGGTCACACTGTATATAAAATATTACAATGTTGTTACGCACGTAGTAGATGCCTAAAATAGTTATTTACGTGTCAAGCTTTGTAAATGAATCTTTACGGGCGAGCTGGGAGTTTGTGGGGTGAGCGATGCAGGAGCGAACCCCATAATTCAGTGAGCCTAGTAAAGATTAATTGCAAAGCATGACACGTACAAACTTTTATTTTCACCTTAAGATAACGATTTTCAAATTTCAAATTTCAATTAATGTGTCAAATGTGTCATTTCTTTTCATAAATTGCTTTTCTACAGGCCTGTAAAACTTTACAGGTCTTTTATACAAGCCCGTAAAATATTACAGGTCTGTTCCCATAATGTATCGTTTGCTTGGATACAAAAACAACAAAATTAACATATAAAATGTTATTTACTAAGAAGGTGGAAATAAAAATATTTAAAATTCCGATATTTAATATAACTAAATACTTTAAAATTTTAGTATTGTGTAATACATGAGTAGAAATTTGCCAAGTGAGCCCATGATTTTCGACGTTGTCATGAAAATTAAAAATAAATATTAAATCATAATCTACTAAGTAGTAGAAAGTTATCACATAAAATTTTTTGAAAAAACTGTATTCGTTTCTTTACAATGTGTGGTTTAAAAAAATTGTAGCATTTTATTTAAAAATTAGTTTCTTGTAAACTATTTATAAAAAATTAATGAAAATTTGTGAGAATGGTAAAAAATAAATGAAGTTAACAATAAAATTTTCAAAAACGTGCTAATATTTTTTTTGGCAACTTTTTTATTCTTTTTTAATATAAAAATGGCAATTTGGCCTTGTTCTCCCTCAGAAAATTGAAAAAAATAATAGGTAAAAAAAGCTCTGAAACCTAAAGATTAAGGAACCGTTTAAACATTTTTGTGATCGCCCCCTGAGTCAATGATAAATAATATTGTTCAGCGCTGCGCCACGTTAACAGGCGACTCTTTAAGAGGCATAACAGGCGCATCTTTGCGTTCTATCAGGTACGGTATATTTCTTCGCCAACGATTTTATTTTGAGTTTTTTGGTTAGAAAGAAAGACTTTATACTTTGATTCACTTCTTTTCTCGTAAATCGATCGTCGACAAGAATTGCACATGTGGTCCAACAAAAGTTTTTGATAAGTATTTATTTTTTTGCATTATTGCATTCCATTTTTTTGTCACAAAATGAAGATTTTTTGTTACTTTTTTATGCAGGATTGCAGCATCTTTTTGCACGGCCCATCACGAAAACTATTTTAAAATTATTTAACCACAACTTTTAAATGTTATTGTTTCAATACATTTGTTTTAAATAAATAAATATTCCCTATATATTTTAATAATAAGGTTTTTATTTTTATACCAATTGTAGAATTTGGTTTTTGTACAGGTCTGTTGTAACAGTTATAGTGCACAAATTAGTTTACAAACCAATGGGATTTAAATATACATTATCGGACAAATTAAATACGGCAGTAAGTTAAAATTTAAGCCAGTAGAATAATTCTTAAAATAAATTGCAATAATTTTATTTAAACCTAAAATTATGTCAATTTTGTATGGAAAAAATTGGAGGAACTTGAAAGAAAAAGGGTATAATCCATTTTTTTTTATAAAAATTTTTTTATCAATAGTTACTTGATGCAAAAACATAAAATTCAAGAGAGATCGTTGGGGCACGTTTTGATAACAATAAAAAATACCTTTTATATAAAATCAGTGATATACACTGCGCGGCAAAATTAAGGCATAATAAGTAAAAAACTCTAAAACGCATTTACCAATCTTTATGAAATTTTGTATAAGAATACTTCAACTTATATCGTCGCTAAAAATGACCACTTTCAGCAAAATAATCAAAAAGGGGTCATTTTTACCTTTTTGAAGCGCTATATTTTCGTTACTGTTCGTTTGATTTGTACAAAGTTTTCAGGGTATACTAACAAAAATACGGTCTTTAACAGCATATTTTTTATTTACTTAAAAAAAAATTCCTATAAAAGTTTTTTTTTCGAACGTTTTTTTTTAATATTAAATAAAAGGGCTTTAAAAATATTTTCTCGAAAAACCCTCGAACACGTAAACTGAGATATAAGTTGAAGTATTCTTATACAAAATTTCATAAAGATTGGTAAAGGCGTTTTAGAGTTAGAAATTTTTTACTTATTATGCCTTAATTTTGCCGCGCAGTGTAGTTATTAAAAATGTCTTCTAATAGTGTCGCTTCTAATTTTTTTTTTAAATATGGGCGGTAAAACAATATTTTTTGCTAAGGGAACGGAATTTGATTAAATATTTAGTACGCAAAGATGCGCCTGTTAACTTGCCTCTTAAACGGTCGCCTGTCAACGTGGCGCAACGCTAAACAATATTATTTATCATTGACTCTTGGAGCGATCACAAAAATGTTTAAACGGTTCCTTAATCTGTAGGTTTCAGAGATTCTTTTACCTATTATTTTTTTCAATTTTCTAAGGGAGAACAGGGCCAAATTGCCATTTTTATATTAAAAAAGAATAAAAAAGTTGCCAAAAAAAATAATAGCACGTTTTTGAAAATTTTATTGTTAACTGCATTTATTTTTTACCATTCTCACAAATTTTCATTAATTTTTTATAAATAGTTTACAAGAAACTAATTTTTAAATCAAATGCTACAATTTTTTTTAATCACACATTGTAAAGAAACGAATGAAGTTTTTTCAAAAAATTTTATGTGATAACTTTCTACTACTTAGTAGATTATGATTTAATATTTATTTTTAATTTTCATGACAACGTCGAAAATCATGGGCTCACTTGGCAAATTTCTACTCACATGCAACGGTAATATTTTACTGTTGATACTCTTAACACAGTGGTAATACGATGGACATAGTTATAAAGAAGTTTGTAACTCTGGGCATGTTTTAATTTAAACAAATACTATTTTTTAATAACCAAATATCTTTTGTATAACCTAGAATTGAAATTAAAATTCGATTTGTTGTTGATAGCTACACCACTGCTTTTAGATAATACTTATAAACCAAAATTAATAAATTTATAATTAAAAACATAATCTATTCGAGATCTTTCTAGTAGTTGTGTGAAATAGAACAATTCCGAAGACAAATTTGTTTCTTAATAATAGACGACAATAATATGCCATAATATGTAGATGTTTTAATGTTTAATTGTAGATAAGTTGCTGAACAAAAAATTATTATATCCAGTTAATGATATTTTAAATTTGCGTATTAAGAAGTAATACTAGTTGCCTAATAATAAGTTAAAACTACTTAAATATATTTTATGTCGTATGCTATTAATTAAACAAAAATTGATTTAAGAAAATGTTTATCATATGTAGGTATTAAATTCGTAATATATTTTAAAATTCTTGTTTTGCCGCTATTTGCCAGGTAATAATTTTATAAAACGCAAGGTATATAAAATTATTATTAAAATTTAAAATCTTTTTTTACCTATGCTGTATGTAATGCAAAAACCAATTCATACCAAACTTCAAGGTAAAATTTATTTACTAATATAAGCCACATTGTAATTAAACCTAACATTCACAAACCCGTCTTTAAATTGTGACTAAGTTTATTAAAATTGTTTGTTTAACATGTTTGAGGATAAAGAATATAATTACAATCTGCTTAAAGAACAAATGCTGCAAACCAACAGTGTTCGCTATTCGCCGTTTCAAGCTGCATACGAAAAGAAACATAGAAGGCAAAGAACATCGTATACCCCCGAACAACTCAGAGAATTGGAAAAAAGTTTCCAAGAAAGTCACTTTGTAGACAGAAACAAGAAATTGGAGCTTGCCAGTAAGTTTGCCTTATCAGAAAATCATATTAAAGTGTGGTTTAAGAATAGACGTGCAAAAAGCAAGAAAGAAAAACACGTTTCTGGTTCCTCATATAGCGACTCCACTTCAGATGCTGGATCTGTAGAAAATTCCTTAGAAGAAGAACCGCAAGGCACGAAAGGCATAAAATCCAATGGGGGCATTATTAACCATGGCGAAATATTTCAGCCTAAACATAATATTTCACCGGAATATAATCAACACTTTTACCATCCAACTCCCCCCCCTCCTGTGAAAGAAGAAATTAAATTTCCTATGCTCAGCAATGAGCCCAACTATGAAGTGCCCTTTATAAATTGGCCGACTCCACCTCCAAACATGTTTTCCCCCTACAACTGGAATCAGGAATCATTTTGGCCGTATATGCAGAGAAATGTTCAAGATTTTCCACATTTTTCTCAAATGTATCCACAAAGTACATATCCAGTGGAATCCGCGCCAAAACAAAGTGACTCTTTAATAAACCTTTAGTTTTATAAAATATTGTAAATATATGTGAGTTGACATAAACTTGTGCAAGTGTTATTTAAGCTTTAATGTATTGTTATTTTTAAGATTATAGTTCCGTAGATATTTTTAACAAACAAGATATATAAAAAATATAAACTTGATAAAACACATCTATTTTTTTATTAAATACATGTTTTCTTATTATTTCTATTGGGTAAGTATGCATATTACTATAAAATAATATTTTTTATTAAATTTAATTAATAAGCAATTTAAGTTAAGCGAAATTCAATTATATATGGTATTTTTTGCGTATTATTCTAAATAAACGATAAATTGAAATAACAATGTTTTTAGCTTAGTTTTTAAATGAAAATAGGTTAAATTTTCGATGAATTGTTATATTTTATATAATTTTAAATTATAATATTTATTATTAATTAAAAAGTTCATCCCGGTAAGGTTAATCTCAAATTAAATTAGGCAACATGGCAGACCTTTGTTAACCTTGATGGTTTTTTTGTCGTGCCAAATACCTACACAAAATATTTTAATGTTAGTCTTGGGTTAAATCGTACCTGCTCGTAAATAAGAACTAAGTGTGAAATGGAAAATAATTTAAAATCTTTAAATTTAAACGACACATATATTTCTCCATCTTTATCAATGCCTAATTTGGACTGTGACAAAGTTTTATATGAATTGGAATATTGCGGTGAAAGAATAAAAATTAAGAGTGTTTCTGAAAAAAATAGAAAAGGCGAAGAACCAAATGATAGCGATAAAGATAAAAGATGTAGTTTTTCCGAAGATGTCTTGGTTATAGATGAAGATTACGTTGAACCAGAACAAAAAATAGTTATTTCACCCCAGAAAAATGTCGGTAAAACTCAACACACAAATTTTTCAATTGACAGTTTGTTGGGCAATACACATAAAGAAAATAAACCTGCAAGTTTTGGTAAAGAAAGTTTAAACCAAGGGCCAATTAAGGTTAAATCTGCTCCAGAAAAGCAACCAAATAACAAAATTACTGATCAGCAGAAAGAAAATAAAAAACAGGATACAAAATTAACCCTAAATCAATTACAAGTTCTACATCAAGAATTTAATAAATGTGCTTATCCTTCAAAAGAAACAAGAGTGAAGTTATCAAAAATCCTTAACGTGAAGGAAGAAATTATTAAAACCTGGTTCCAAAAACGTAGATACATATACATGAAGCACGTCAAAAAACCTATTGTGCCAACAACCACACCAAGATTACCAATTCCAGTGCAACACCAACAAATTCTTAGAAGTATTCCTCCAAGACCAATTATGAGACAACCATTTGGTTTAAGAAGTTTTCCATTCATCACTGCCCAATATGGATTACCTCAAATGTCTCCCCAGCAGTTTGTCCAAGTGGAAGCTTATAATGCTGCTACTAATTGGTTGAGAAGATTTCAAAATGTATTTTCGCCTTATATGCACAACGGGAATGTTGTTTTTGGTCAGAAAGTAAGGCTTCCCACTCCAGAAATATCACCAGTGCCACCTGTATCGCAATACAAATTTTAATTGAATTGTAGACCAAGACAAAATAACATTTTTTGCTTTTTAAAAACATTAAAATCATAACAAAACATATTAAAAATGTAATCCAATGTAAATATATATTTATTTAAATGTAAAATCGACTTATTTATAACAAAATCAATAAAACAACTTATTTGGCCCATTTATTTCCAACCTTTAAAAAATAAACTAAAAACAAAATGTATACTTAGAATTGGTTTGAGTAATGGCCGTTTGCTTAAAGCACCCCGCCATGCATCATCCCTTAAACGATGCAACGAGGGGTGAGTGACGTCATCTAGCATCTCGACGCTCAACGTCGCTTTACGATGTCAGCGTCCCGTTCATCACGCGCGCTTGATTATTTTATAACATGTTTATTGTTTTTTTATTATAGATGAACTTAACGTGATAAAGCATTTTTTAACAACACAACATAATTTATGAAGATATTTTTAAATATAGTTATATATTATGACTTTGTTGCAAATTATTTACCACCAATGTTTGTTTTAATTATTTCAGAGATTAAAAGATAATAATTATTGTCGCAACCGAGAAACCCTCCATGATAATAATCATAACTTTCTCCATTAAATATGCTTTTAAAATGACTATTAAAAATCAATAAAGTTATGTAAATGATTAAAGTTTTAAACTTTTCTCACTCTTGAATTTTATCTAAATTAAATAGTGCTGTTTTCGTTTCCCTTGCCATCTGTAGGAGGGGACTCTACTTAATTAAAGTTAAGTCCTCAGCAGATTAATGTAATAAAAAAATGCACAATTTACCTATACATGTATACCTACATCATTAAATATTTATAAGAGATAATAAAATACAAAATATATTTTTTTCTATTTTCACCTTAAAACGCCCATTATCGTACATGTTTTCATGACACCTTTTAAATACACATTGACAAGTTATGGCTTTATGTCGTTTTAGCAACGGACTGAAGTTAGCAACAGGTTTTTAGTCACGGGCTGAAGTTAGGAACAGGTTTTTAGTCACGGGTTGAAGTTAGTTTTAAGTTAGTTGACAGTTGTCAAATGTCATACAATCGTTAAAATAAAGTCCCTTTCTTGTAAAATAATACTAAATGTGAAAATTATTTTATTATCTCAATACAAAAATACAAAAGTATTAAATACTTTCTCAACGCCAATATTTTCGTTGGCAGTAAACTAGATATAACTTAATTTCGGCTTCAGACTCCACCGTAGATAAAGTGCTCATAAAACATTTTCTTCACTTTCAATATAAAACACAGATTCCCAAGTTAGTTATCCTATTATTTTATAGATGCCGTTGTAAAGAAATATTAAATTTAAATTATTTATACAGTGTGACCCATTTGTTTGCGACTCACCCCTGTAAAATCTTTATTTATTGTGCGATTTTAATCGAATTTGTGTAGATTTTTACAAACTGTATTTTTGGAGAAAAAAACGCCATATTTGTACAAGGCCTACAATGTCAGTTTTAAGAGTAAATTTAAAAAAATTCGTATTAGTGATTTTTTTAAACAAAATCTAAGCATGGCACTGGATTCATCACCTCTCAAAACGATCCTATACTAAATTTTATTGAAAAATTTTGAGTAGAAAAATGCAAAATATTAACTACAAAAATTAATTCTGTCAAGTTGTCCATGAAAAAAACATTGAAATAAAATTAAACTAATAGTAACATGGTACTATAACTCTGTGGGTAAAAGGCATAAGGGGATAAGTCAAAAAAAGCAATTTTTCAATAGAGCCTTTAACGTGTTCGCATTAATTCAGGAAATATATTTATGTTTAGCGGGTATACGCTTTTGTTGGCATATGACATGTGCTAACAAAAGGGTATACACGCTAACCATAAATATATTTCCTGAATTAATGCGAATAAGTTTAAGGCTTTACTGAAAAATTGATCATTTTGACTTATCCCCTTATGCCTTTTGCCCACAGAACTATAAGTTTAATTTTATTTCAATGTTTTTTTCATGCATAACTTGACAGAATAAATTTGTGTAGTTATTATTGTGCATTTTTCTACTTAAAATTTTTCAATAAAATTTGGTAAAAGGTCGTTTTGAGGGGTGGTGAATCCAGTGCCGTGCTTAGATTTTGTTTAAAAAAATCGCTAATATGAAATCTTAAAAATTTACTCTTAAATACTGACATAGTAGGCCTTGTATTTCGTACAAATATGGCGTTTTTTGCTCCAAAAATACAGTTTATCAAGATCACCACTTTAAAACAAATCCGGTTAAAATCGCACAATAAATAAAGATTTTTTAGGGGTGAGTCGCAAACAAATATATTATGCAACTCCGTTATAAAATTTTCAAGACACTCAATAATTTAACAATGCAATGTACAATAATTGTACAAAAGTCCATGACAATTATTGTCACTTTTATATACCTAAAAGCAACAAAGGACAGCGATTGTCCACAACACTCATTTCTAGCACCTATAGGTATTCTACAACGTTGTTCAAACATATCATTCATTTATTATTATGTCTTAAAAATAAATAATCTTGGTACATACTTTGCATAGGTTTCATAGCTTGATTTTAAATATTTCAAAAATGTCTAAACTTTAATAAAAATACAACCATAATTTTATAACCTAAAGGTAGTTAAGTAAAAATGTTTGAATTAAAAATATATTAAAAACTTTATTTCTAGCCACTTTTAGGATACTTTTGCTATGAATTATGTTTGAGCATTTTATGTTCTTATTTTAAATTATATTTGATAATTAAAATATTTGTGTAATTTCTTTAGGTTAATATTTTGCATTTATATAAAGTTTCAAGGTATTAGACTAAAGTTAAAAAATTACATCAAAACTAATATTAATAAAATTAACAAAATTTTTATAAAAATATTGTCTCTTATGAAGGCAATTTGTTAAAATAACTTTTGGTAAAAACATTTTATGTACTCTTAAAGTCAAATGTGTTTGAAACAGTAAATTTTGCTAATAATTAAAAATTGTTTTGACTTTTACTTGATGAAACTTCATATCACTAATATATAAATATAAAAACAATACTGTTATAAGCGACCTTAAAATATATATATATATATATATATATATATATATATATATATATATAAGTTATAAAGTTCTAAAGACACATTGGTAAACTTAAAAATTCAAATGTATTGTGATAGAAATGTTTAAAAAATACTTTCTCATGAAAAATCCAAAATTTTCCAGAATTTCTAAAAATGCAAAATTGCACAAGAATCTCACATTCGCGTCACTCGCGTCATTCAAGTCATTCGCGTCATTCGAGTCACTGCAGTGCACTTTTCGCGGTGGTTGGTATACCACCATCCAAATAAGACAACTCCAATTTTACAAAAAATCATGTTTTTCATGGTACAATTTGAAAATTTCAGTTGTTTTAAAAATAGTAATTTAGGTGAAATGGGTAAAATCATTAGTTGGTAATATTTAAAAATTAGATCCAAAAATTAATTTAGGTAAAATAGGTAAAATAAAATCAGGGTGAAATATTTTTCAATTTTTTTTTTTAAAACGGATTTTATTTCATTGCACCTTAAGTTATGATTAGCGTAGACAAATGGGTTGTAAAACTAAAATCCCATCTCTACTTATGACATATATTAATAAATAGCGTTCTATAATTTAAGCTTTATTATCGTGAACGCTCACTACCAAAATATTTAATTATCTCCTAGGCTGTTAAATAATTTAGATCAATCAGGTAAAATGTTTTATGCCATTCGGCTAAGACTTTTTTGTGCCTTGTTTAATTGTAGACTTCCGCTAAAGCGGCGGACTTTAAAGTTTGAGCTCAGCACGAAAAGACTCACTTTGCATTATGACATAAATAAATATTATTACAAACATAACGATGTAAAAAATATATAGAACATATGTGCTTAAACTATGTTGGACATTGTAATTGTAAAATTTTAAAAACATTTAAAAATTACAGTAAAATTAAAAGACAACATAACCTCTACAAATGGTAAACATAATTACGGTCTTAAGCACTAGGCCAATTTAAATCCTGGACCGCAAACATAAATCCTTAGTTAATAAACACATGGATGGTGAAAGGAAACGAGGAGAGAGAACGGCATTGTATGTGTATAGTAGTAGAGAAAGTACAGTGTAGTTTTCCCGTGAAGCAAAGGAGAGCACCGTGAACCGAAGTGGAAGCCCGAGAGTCAAGGGTGGCTCGGCGAGCAGCCGTCCTCGATCATCAATCATCCTGAGACAATCGCTCAGCGCACAGCTGTCGCGTATTACGACAGCCGCTCTTCCACGCCGACCCTGCCGAATTTTCCGTGGATCACACTGAATGCACTGCTTGCTTGCTTGATTTTTTGTCTAAAGAGAGCACGTAGAATCTGCGTCCGTGTTGCCGACCGTGGGTGTCAAAATATTCTGAAATTAAAAAATTGAAAATATAGGTATTTTTGGATAACCACGAATTGGGCACCAAAATGTAAACTCCTTACGATTTTGTTTCAACAATTATTAAAATATGATTTTAATAAAAGTTTCCAATTGTTGAATTTAGATCCTTAAAAAATCTCTCTTTTGCAGGATAAAATGCTAGAACTTTTCTTATTAGGCATTGATTTTCAAGACAATATCTTTTTAGGTTTGACGCCTTCTTACTTGTTATAGTATATTTAAGAATTGTTCTTAGTAGTTTTAAACAAAAGATCTGTATTAATAAATTTATCTTTTTCCTAATATCTAGGAACAATGTTTTGTTGTTATTTTACATTTTCAGATGCCACTTTTTAACGTAGATATTTTTTTTCTGTAAAACGTAATAATAATAGCGAGATGTCCAGGACGCCACTGGAATAAATAAATTGAATCTAATTATTATTATCAAAAGCTGACAATTATTTTTATAATCAAATTCTACAAGTTTTAAGAAAATCGAAGTTTTTGAGATTTCAGGAAAAAATATACATGTATGTATATTAAAAAAAAATTAACTCTGGAAAATAAGAATTTTAATGGCTTTTAAGTATATTACTATTATTTTTGTACAAAGCAGGCGTTGTTAATGGTAACCCAACATTTGAAAACAACCCAATGTAAGTTAAAAAAAATCGCTTCCCTTTGGTTTTGTATTATTTGGGTATATAA